AACTACACAACAGAAATAAAGCAACTGTAATAAATCAAACAAGTCCAAACCAGACATCCTACCTCACTTAGTTTGTTGGACAACAGGTCTCCCAGCAGCAGTGTGTCAGAGGTGTGAGCCACAAGATATCGATCCTTCCCCATGACTTTCACCTCATCTATCTCATAACCATACTGAGACTTCAGCACCACTCGTGTGCCAGAGGACAAATTCTTCACAATCACCTAGGAGGGTTTAAGAAACAAGGTTCTTTAGTTTGTAGGATGTAAACAAGATTAAAAACAACAGTCACTACTGAAATGAACAGAAACTGTGCACTTTAAATATCTTAAAGTAATGCTCACCTGACTTAGTCCTACATATGTCATCTCAAATTTGTTCTTGTAAATACTCCTGCGGAGACAGCAGTCAAACATCTCGACACCACCACACAGTGTGCCCTGCAATTTACAGAAGGACATTTAATTACACATCACCTCCACAGCCCCTCAGGTGTCCCAAGTGGCAAAGCTGGACCTCAACATCATTGAGCCAATGTTTTTGCCATCCTGCTTATGTCTTACCAAGTTACCAAATTATAAACATTGTGCAGACAAACTTATGAGCAGAACTGATCTGGGATATTTTCAGGATTAGTGATTAAATAGAAACATTGGGCCTAATTACACTTTTCACTTAGTGCGTTTTTACTGATCAGATAGCCATCCAAATTGTTAAAACTGTTTAGTTTACACTTGCAAATGTGTCTCCACAAGACGAAAATAAATCCGATCTACAATTCCCACGCTATATGCAAATTCAGTGTAGTTCACATCATCGAAAGCAAAAGATCTGCGCTGCATTTTATTTAGCATCAGCTTATTTCAACACCAAAGATGTGTCAGCAGCACTGGTGAGGGAATATAGTGTTTACCACTCACCACTTTTAATAAAAATTGCTATGTGCTAAGCTTTCATGGTGTCACACCGAACATTACATTTCATTTGTGGCAATTTGCATCTGCTTGCTAAAGAAAGATGCTTAACTTTTCATCACTTGTGGGCCATATCTGTGGCGATGTGTTGCAACAGCGCTGTCATATTTGACAACCAGGAGCTGGTATAACAAGCATTCACACGTTTATTTTTTTTTTTACCATTTTAGGAGTCGTCAAATTTACACGTGGTTTCAACAACCAGATGCATTTACACTTGTCCAGTTTCGTCTGGAATGTGTCTCAAACCGCCTCCTGAAGTGGTGATCGAATTGAAATTGTCTCGAAAGGGCATTTACATCTGTTCTTTTCAAGAGTGGATAGCTATCCGATCTGAGAAGATGCATGAAGTGACCAGTTGTAAAAAGGCGTTAGGATTTTTCTGAAAGACATTGAGGTTCGGAAATCTTTAAGAAATTGTCCATCCAGACTGACCACAGAAAGCCGAGAGCCGTCTTTCTTCCAGGATAGAGCTGTGATGGTGTACAGGTTTGGAATTTCTTTGGGAGAACCTTCATCCCAGGTACCTTTTCGAGGACTCCAATTGAAAACTCGCAATCTTAAGAAAAATGAGATATGTCAAGACATTGGCTGAATGTTTTTGTTTTTCGATTTAATGTGTTCTCTCACCTGTCATAGCTTCCTACAACTATGGACTGGCCACTGGGGCTAGATGCTGCAACTGTGAATTCCTTTTCAGAGTGATCTCGGCTGTAGTCAAATGTCTGAAGCACGTGGCCCTCCCTCCCATAGGCCACGATCTTCTTGTCACATCCAGCCACAATTATGCTGTTGGTGCCCCATGCCAGGGCATATGGTGGGCATGCATGAGTCAACAGTTTGCCCTTTCAACCATCAGAACAAATCAGTCATTAATTCGCTTGCAGATATAATATTTTAATTAACATCTGTATATTATGTTGTAAATACATTTCAATATAATAAAGCAAACTTTTTACCTGAGATTCTCCAGAACCTTCATCGTCAAAGAAGTACCGAACGACCGTTCCATCTGCATGACCCGAGAGGATTCCCTTCCCTGAGACACTGCAAGAATGGATCAAGAGAGATACAGTGTTGTTAAAATTCTAAATTGATTAAAACGAAAATAAAAAGAAATCTATATAGAAATGTTAAAAAAAGAAAACTTATAAAAATAAAAAAAAGCACACAACCCAATTACTAAAACTTAAACTAAAATTAAAATGAAAACTTAAAATATAAAGGCTAATTCAGTTTTGTATATAATAGTATACACTGATAAAGCAAAACATTATGAACACACACAGGTGAAGCAAAAAATGTTGATCATCTCCTAACATGGTCACATGTCAAGGTCTGGGTTGATCAGATGGTAAGTGAACAATCAGTTCTCGTAGTCAACATGTTTGATACAGGAGAAATGGGCAGGCGTAATGACCTGAGATACTTTGACAAAGGGTCAAATTGTTATGGCCTGATGAATGGGTCAGAGCATCTCTGAAATGGCAAGGCTTGTGGGGTTCTCCTGGTCAGCAGTGCTGAGAACGTGTGCACTGTTTACTTGGGGAAGTGATGCCTTCAGAATGCACTGTGGGAAGATGACAGCTGGTCGAGGGAGTGTGATGCTCTGGGCAATGTTCTGCTGGGAAACCCTGGGTCCGGCCATCCATGTGGATGTCAATTTGACACTTGCCACCTACCTAAAAGTTGCAAACTAGGTACATGCCTTCATGCCAATGGTGTTCCCTGATAGCAGTGGCCTCTTTCAGCAGGATAATGCACCCTGCCACACTGCACACATTGTTCAGGAATGGTTGAGGAACATGACGAAGCGCCTAAAGGCGTTGCCTTGCCTTCCATATTCCCAAGATCTCAATCTGATTGAGCATCTGTAGGATGTGCTGAACCAACAAGTCCGATCAACTTCAGCTCCACCTCACAACTTACGGGACTTGCCAGATACCACAGGACAACTTCAGAGGTCATGTAGTATCCATGGTTCTGCGGGTCTGCTCTGTTTTGTCGGCAGGTGGTCATAATGTTTTGGCTCATCACATCAGTGTATAAATAATAGTAAAATAACACTAAACAAACCGGAAAAGGGTACTTGGACAAAGAAGCAAGCATCATAGGATCAGGATTTTAAATAAGTATACATACTTTGTAGTTAGTGAGACAACATAAGAGTCTGTTCCATATATCGTGGAGGACTTGCTTGTTTTTGTATTGGCTTGTCGAACCTGAATTTGACATTAAACATTCACAAAATGAATCCTCACAAAATAGGAAATTCAGCTTAAGGTGTAAAACAGAAAATGCTATGCGCCACACACTTACTTTTCCCTCTGCAAGTCCAAATATTATTGCATGCTCTGACGGCCAAACCAGACATGTCACAGCACTCTATAGAACAACAACAAAGTTAATGCGCACAATATATAACACTTCAGCCTAATGATGTATTTTATTTATCATCAGAATACTTACTGTTTGAATAAATTTGTTGCAAATAACCTTTTTATCTCCCCTGGGAAAGAAAACATATAAAATAAATTAAAAAATAATACAATAAAGCATATATATATATATATATATATATATACAGATACACACACACATATTATTAGTATATTATATTAGCACTAATTATTAGTAGTATACTGAGATTACTTACCACTCTTCTCCAATTTTGTAAACAAATATGATGTTGTCTGTTTGAGCAACAGCTATCTTGGTTGAATCAGGGGAAAATGCCATGGACTTGACCACATAGGCTTTCTTTCCATACTGCAACAAATTAATCATGACTTCAAATACGTTTTCCTGCCGTACTGACATACGTATGGCACTGGCAGGATACAAAATTAATTTAGAATATTTAAATTAAATAAGTTGCTGATAACTTACTTTGGGGTCTGCAGGCTTTGTGGTAAATCTGTCTCTTTTCTCTCCCTGCTCATCATACAATATAACCACTCGGTCAATAGTGCACACTGCAAACTTTGCATTGTTTGAAGCCCAAGCCATACAGGTGACTTTAGCAGCTCCATCCTACAGAAAAGAAAAGACAATACAGACACAACACTAACGTTACTTTTAAAGCAGAGTCTTGGAGTCACTCAGATTTAAATAATATTCGTTTAACATTCGGAATAGTTTGGATTTATATTACTGTTTCTTTGCACAACTTAATGCTTTACTTGGTATCAGGCAAGATACATAAGCAGTGTTGCTAAGCTAAGAAGCGTTCTCATGCCTGTATTGATAGCGGACTGCTGAAAGCTAAGCTAGCGTCGCTAAATAACGTGGTAACGGTAAATGTTTTACCTGAGGCGTTAGAAGAGTCTTCAGGTACTTTAGCTGCATCCTTTACATTTATACAAGACTCAGTTATAAGGACGTATTTCTTGATATAGCCATGTTTTGGGTAATAGTTGTCAGGCTGAAGACATTTTGGTAAACATAGCTTTCTCCCTGGTTACCGTCGCCAAGGAAAGAACGTATGACGCAATTACGCAGAATGAGATTAAACGTGTTTAACTCTTTAAAGCCGTTCTATTTCAAAACATATAATAATAATTTATGGATCAATTAAATACTGTGTTTGATGACAGCTTTTACTAATCTTACATTTAGATTTAAAAAAAAATACTGGAGATGCCGGGGATTGAACCCGGGGCCTCATACATGCAAAGCATGCGCTCTACCACTGAGCTACATCCCCTTCCTGTATTAAATGCATGATTATATATCATATAGACTTTTATACACACACACACACACATATATATATATATATATTCAAAGGTATCATACAAATAACTGCATTAGTTTTAATACAGACATTTATTAATCACACAAATAATTCCTCATAATAACATTATCATGACATCAAACTGTGGTCACATGCTGTAATAATTACAGCATCATGTGACCACAGTTTGATGTCATGATAATGTTATACCAACATCTAAAATTAACTACACTAATGTGCTCTAGGACTAGGTGACAGGTCAAACAAACACCATTGTGACTGGAAAACGACAGATGTGACATATAAAGAACCTCTAGATAGAACAAGCTGTACACAAGATCCAAACTTACTGAAGCATGTTCAAGGAGAAGAACCACCAAAACAGCTATGTAAAAACACAGATCAAATTAGATCGGAGACATGCATAATCAGGTTTTTCAGAGCTTTGAGAGGATAATTCAGAATCTCTGGTTCATAAAAGACATTTTTGAGCTCATTCTTGGAGCAGTCTTTTACTTTTTTGAAGCCTTTGTTCGAGTCTTTATTCCACATTCCAAGAAAGATGTTGAGGGAGAGATAGTCTTGGTGACTGGAGCTGCAAATGGGATTGGAAAACTGATCGCCAAAGAACTTGGACACTATGGAGCAACATTAGTCTTATGGGATATCGACTCGGAGGCACTGGACAAAACAGCAAAAGAATTAAAGCAGGTATTAGATGTGCGAGTGTATGCCTATACCTGTGACTGCAGCCGAAGAAGTGAGGTCTACAAGGCTGCTGAACTGGTAAATAATTAATAATTTTATATATATAATTTATACTTTATACCTTTTAAAAAACATTTACAGTTTTAATGATGGGTAAATAATATGAAGGTGTATTTTTATGTTAAAAAATTTCAACAGGTTAAAAGGGAGGTTGGAGATGTGTCAATCTTGGTGAACAACGCAGGCATGGTAACAGGAAAATACACTTTTGTTGAAGCCCCTGACAGTCTGGTGGATAGAACACTAAGGGTCAATGTTGCTGCTCATTTCTGGGTAAAGTAAAATTCAGTGTTTTCTCCATGTTTTACATTCTTTAAGCCTCTGTTTTTATGTTATGGGAACAGTGAGCTTACCGTTATCTCAAATATTTGAATTCACAGACTTACAAGGCGTTTCTCCCAGCTATGTTGGAACGGAACCATGGGCACCTGGTCTGTGTGGCATCCCATGGAGGGTTGTTTGCAATGAATGGCCTTGCAGGTACATTTATAGAGAGATTTTAGAGATGTTGTACATCATTGTGCGACACTAAACTTTAGATATTGCACATTCATGATTTAGTTTTAAATTGAGGTGTGATTTAAAAATAGAATGGGATTTTCCAATACGTTTTGTCCACAGACTATTGTGCAAGCAAGTCTGCAGCAGTAAGCTTCGCAGAATCTATTGCACTGGAGCTGCTTGTCCTTAAAAAGGAAGGAATCAAAACAACAATAGTGTGTCCCTATCTAATAAATACCCAAATGTTTTGGGGATGTCAAACAAAGTAAGCCAATACAGTTTCCATTTATGAAACATTAATTAGAGATTTGTGCTCTGGTGATGCAGTAACATTGATATTTTATTTTGTTAAGGAGACCATCTTTTCTTCCAGTCTTGGATCAGAGACATGCAGCAAAACAGATTGTGGATGCCATACTAAGGGAGAAGATGTACTTGCTGTTACCCTCAAGTCTATATTTCTTGATGGCACTTAAGAGGTATTTTAGGCCTCTAAATACTTGTTATTGAAGATATAAAATTTGTTAATTTATATGCCTTTCGCCAACCTTTAATAATTAAAAAACAAATAAATCAAACAGTTAACAGAAAATAATTGTATTCAATGTAATAAATGTCTCAATAATTTTAATATTGCACAAAATGATTGGCAAGATTTAACTATATTATATATCAACTTGACCCACCTATTCATGTTCTTGCAGTCTCATGCCTGCCAAACTGGGCATCATCTTTGTGAACTTCTTTGGTGGGATGGATCTGATGGATCACTTCAGAGGGGTCCCTGTAACCATCAACAGCTACAAAAAGCCTCAGCGCCAACAAAATGACAGTGCCAGTGATCCACATACCACTCTTGTCTATTACAACTAGCAAAAAGTTGCAAAACACAAAACATTGTAAATCACCAGTGAGTAATATCAGTCTGCTCAAATGTACCTATGAACGGAGTACAGAATTGTTAATAAATTTCCTTTTTCTCTGTGGTCCATTTGTCTTCAAATTTTTACATATATATATATACAGTATATAAAGATTTACCTAATATCTTAATTTTTGAATGAAGGGAGTGTGTGTGGGATTCCATGCTATCAAAGCAAGCTTTCTATGGACTCTTTTCACAGACTGTGATGACGTGTTTTATTAGGTCATCAGTATTGTAATTCCTGTGCAGTTTTTAATATACATATATATATATATATATATATATATATATTTAATCTATGAACATTTACAACACTTTACTTATTATTTTATTACCTTTGCATCAAATTACAAAAAACTAGTTAACGCTGCTGTGAGGGTGTTTCTATTACAGTGGCTATGGGAGTGACAGTAAAGTTGACATCTTTCTCTCTTCTGACTGCATCTGTATGAATCTCTCTCTCTATTGAGTTTTCCTAATAAAAATTAAGATATTTAGTCTCTCATTCACTGCTATAGAAGTTTACCCAACTATTCCGCTTTTGAGAAACCTGGAAATGTGAAAAGGGTCGCTTCGAAATACCCTACCTTGAATTGAGAATACCAATAGTTCTAGAGCTGGCATTATATCTATTAAATATAACTTTTTCACTTGTGTAGTTATAAAAACACAATATAATTTGAGTTATATTTTTGGGGGTGGATCCCACTAGATTCCCTTACTACAGGTTAAAATCCACGAGATACATTATTATTTTTTATTCCCCGACCATGCCGAGATTGCCCACACAGGTCAAATAAAGAAGGTAACTTTGTTTTGGTTTTTTTAAAAGAAGGTAAAATCGGTGATTTTTGACAACAAAGTACAGCATTGGGTCAGGCCTTCCCCCTCCCTTTGACGTAGTTCTGACGCGTAGTAGTTTGTCACGCTCGTATAAAACCAACTGAAGTTCACACGCACGGCTCCACGCTGCTGTGACTGGAGCAGAGCGTGGACTACTCTAATTGACCTGACCTCTTTTGGCTTTAACCTAAATAAAACATCGTTACCGGCCAATGAGCTTCTTCTACATCAGGACAGCATGGTTTTTGGCCTAGACAGCGATATCTAAGATCGCATATATTTAACGTTACTCCGCATCCGGGTGAACATCATCTTGAGCAGCGTGGTTTTCACGTGGGAACTTCGGCGAAAAGGAGAAAACATACGCATTACGCACCACTGGGCAGCCACCTCGGTTCACAAACTTTTAAGCGCTAGATATTCGCTGTGGTTCTTTTTTGCTTTTAGAAGTACTAACACTGCAGCCATGTCGGAGAAAATTGCATCTTTAGTATTGGAGGACGGGACAGCATTTAAAGGCCGTCTGTTCGGTGCCGTATCCTCAGTGTCTGGTGAAGTTGGTAAGTGAAATCAAAGGAAATGTACTGGAAATATGTCTCCCTGTCAGCCCTATTTTCTTGCCACTGCTCCTTATAATACACTTGTCCCTCCTGTCCTCTTACCGGAAAGTGCTTAATAAATAAGATGAGCAGGAAGTAAGTTACACGTGTCTGATTTCGCGCTAAACGTTTTAAAGTGAACACTCACCAGTAGCAACTTCCTAGGGCATGCTGGCGCCACATCTATGACATCCCAGAAATTGTTTCTGGTTCAGTGGTAAATCGTTAGACAAAAGTTCGTGATCTTTTGTCTTGCCATATTATTTTTTTATATGTCTACACAGTAAGAATTCTGTAGTCACCATTATTTAAAATAAAATATTTTTCAATAGAAAAACAATATTGTTTAAAAAGCACCTCCAGTTTAGATAAGGATTAGGGCTCAACAATAGGAATTTCACTGGCCCCATTATAAAATTTTTTTATTTTATTTTGGCAACACTTTTTGTATGTGATTTTAAAAAGAAAAAGAAAAAAGAAAGAACAAGTAGGCGGTGTTTCCAAAAGTTTGGCCTGAATAAATGTTTTTCTTTGAAGGCTAAGACCAATTAAATGCAAACACATTTGCAGGTCAGAGCAGACGTCTGACTTGTTCTTGCTCATTATTCATTTAGACATGGATTTTTGCAGGATATATGACTGACAAAACCTGCCCCCAACCAGTAGTCATACTAGTATAGTCATGATGTTAAAATTTCAATAACCTGTAAAATTTCACTGTTCTTGATACAATTACATAGTACCACAGCAATTAATATTCTATTAAGGCCTCTTTATTAAGTTTAATTATAACAAATTCAAAAAAGTCAAAACAATGGTATGTTACCATACATACACACACACACACACACACACACACACACACATATATATATATATACTCTATACATTGATTGATGTTTGTACTGATGTACCAGTACTTTTGATATCCCTAAGTCATACATTGTGTGTCCTCAGTTTTCCAAACAGGAATGGTGGGTTACCCAGAGGCTCTCACAGATCCCTCTTACAAGTCTCAAATACTTACTCTGACGTACCCGTTGATTGGCAATTATGGTGTTCCTGAAGATGAGGATGGAGAGTTTGGACTCAGCAAGGTTTTTTCCTTTCTTGTATCCACATAGTCTTCTTAATAGTACATAATTCTTCTAAAACAGATTATTATAATACTACTGGTATGGTTTCTTCTAAATATTCCTCTTTGTGGTCTAGTGGTTTGAATCTTCCAGAATCCATGCTGCTGCTCTCATTGTTGGGGAGGTGTCAAAGAATCCCAGTCACTGGAGCTCCGCCAAGTCTCTGGATAAGTGGCTGCGAGAGCAAGGCATCCCTGGACTCGAAGGTCAGTCAGTGCAGGCGTCGCTTGCTTCGCTTTGACTTATACGAAGTAAAGCAAGTAATTTGGTTTAGATTTTAGCATTAATTGGAAACACAAATTCCTGTAAAATTAGGGGTTGACACTCGAAGCTTGACCAAAAAGATCAGAGAAAAGGGAACCATGTTGGGGAAACTTGTGGTGGAAGGAACTTCAGACAACAACATTCCCTTTGACAATCCGGACACCCGCAACCTTGTTAAGGAAGTTTCCATGAAAGTAGGTGGCTAGCTTTGATAATGTTTTCAGATCAATTTTAATATGATTTCATTTTGTTTAAAGACATTTTATTTCCTGTGTTGTTTATGCCAACAGGAACCAAAAGTTTTTAATCCAGAGGGAACAGTGAGAATCACTGCCATAGACTGTGGCATAAAATACAACCAGATCCGTTGCTTGTGCCAGAGAGGTGCCCGGGTCACCGTTGTCCCCTGGGATCATCTTCTGGACTGCAATGGTGAGCCATGGTGCTGTTCTCCACATATTGTCATGTTGAAATCACAATTTAACATGATTATTGTTGGGCGAAAGTCTTAATCCGTGATATGAGTAATGTTATATATCAGTAAAATTATCGATAGCCTACTTCAGCAAAAAACTAATTACAGAAGACAAGTTAACAGTCAGCAATACAAAAAGAACAAAGAAACTAATTACAAACAAAATGGAAAAATAAATACAACAGAAGAAGAATACAAATTAAATAAATAGTGCTTTAAGTTTTTCAGGAAGATGTACTAACAGTGGTATTCAGATAAGTAATAGCCTAAAACAGAAACTTAATAAAGTAATCAAATGTAAAATAACACTGCATAGTCTTCACTAAATACATTAAATATAGATTAATCTTTGTTAAAGTTTTGAAAGTTATTCATTCAAGAGCAGTGAGTGATTTTATCTTTGCCTTTTGTTGTTTGATTAACATTAATGACAGACTGAAGCAGTAATATTAGGCTGTTGTCACTTTTAGTGTGAATGCATGGATCCAATATACTGTTACACATGCGGTTTCTTTCTCAACTGTTTACATTCACTTAAGACATAACTGACTGTTTTCAAAGATATTTACCAAAACGACATTTTTGTATGCATGCTATTTGACCGTTTAGGCGGCTTCATGCGCTTTTCATGACACTGTTTAATATCAGTAACGTTCCGAAGTTTAACAACTCTATACTGCTTTTTACAACTCACGTATTCAGCTGATTTGTATGTTAAGTTTGACTTAGGGAGGAACGAAAGCGCACAGCTGAATGTGGCAGCAGCACAATAATCGCTTTACCTCGATTACCTTTTTCATAATTGTTGGAAGGCAAAATAAAAATCATTTGCGATTACTTGCACAGCCCTAGGAAGGATGTGTTTTGTTATTTTAGGAGAATGAAAATGTTATCACTTCGGTATTGCTTCTGTTTTTCTCTAGACTTTGATGGGTTGTTCATCAGCAATGGCCCTGGCAATCCAGAGTACTGTAAGGAGACCGTAGAGAACATACGGAAGGTGGCATGTGTGGAGAATCCCAAACCTGTCTTTGGGATTTGTCTGGGCCATCAGCTGCTATCTTTGGTCATTGGTGCAAAAACATACAAAATGAAGTAAGCAATCCATTCATCTTTTTCACTTTCCGCTGAGTATTAATGCAGATTTCTTATTAAAGGGATAGTTCACTCAAAAACTTAAAATTCTGTTATTTACTCACTCTCATGTCGTTCCAAACCTGCATGCATTGTTATTCTTTGGAACAATATTTTGAAGAACATTGGGAACCAAATAACATTGGAGAGGCCATTGATTTTCCATTGTATGGACAAAAAATATCTTCATGTTCCACATAAGAAAGAAAGTCATACAGTTTTGTAATGACATGAGGGTGAATAATGGCTAAAAAAATGTAATGTTATCTCTTTAATAGACATTTATCCTTGCATGTATTATCCATACATCAAAAGTAAAATATTTATTTCAAATGCATTTTAATGCCGTTTTAACACTTGCATCTACAGGAAAATTTAATAAAAAGGATTTTTTAAAAAATTATTCTTTTAATAGTATGTTATTTTAGCTATATAGCTAATATAGCTATATAGAGCATAATAGCTCTTATGTTCAAGATCTTTGTAGTTAAACAAGATGGTTACAGAAAAAAATATAGGATTTTTGCAGTTTTGCTGAACCAGACAGCAACACGCTAAGGTCAGTGGATTGTAGTTTTTGCAGAGGAACAAAAGACTGGTTCGTTGGCCT